GAAAACAGACGCATCTGTAATTGAAACCCTCACTCACATCCACACCCGTTTTCTCATCTACCAAATATGTACTGTCAAATTTTCCCGACCAACAGCGGCTACTCCCGCTAGTACAATATAATTATCAAAAACATGCGTAAATCGTATAGGCATGGTCAAATAGCTTTTTTTATTTAAAAGAAAAATAATACCATGCACAAAATATCCAGATTAACATAAACGTTAAAGAATTCTTAAAAAGAACTTGACAACAAATGTTAATGATGGCAAGATTGTAGACATTATTTTTTGCACTTTGTAACATCGGCCCAACAGTGAACATCCTGCACATAGCCATACTCTCCCTTAGATGTTTCAATATGATACCATGTCTTTGTTTTATGTGGAAGTTTTTCGGTTTTGAAGCAGTCGCATGGATAGTATTGATCAGCGCGGACATACATATATGGTTCACAATCCATTGATGCACACGTATGAGCAGCAGTCATTTGCATACACATAGCTTGACCACCCTAATCATATGAAAAGTAAAATATTTCAGTTGTTAAGATATTTGATCAAGACAAAAACTTTACCTCACATAGTACCGCACCAAGAATTAACAACGTCAAAGACACGATAATGAATCGATTCATTTATAATTTTACTTGTCTGTATTGTAATAATATAGTTTTATTCGTTTCGAAATAAGTAATTTTATAAACTAGCAGCATCCTTTTATACAACAATGAAAATGTGACCTTGGTAATTCAACGCGGAAGTATTAGTATGTTGGAAACTGTACTTCATAGACACTTTTTCCTCGGATGTAGATGACACATAACTAATGACGAAAAAAGCATCATGTGATTCGAAAAGGGAAGAAAGAAGCGCTTAGTTTTCGTAGTAAGTCCATCATTCTTCAATTTGGATAAAAATCTCTCTTATCATTTTTCCAGTTAAAAGGATTATTTTATATTCGTCATACATTGTTATTCAAAAGCAAAGTCCAACCATTATTTGAATCGAGTGGTCTATATGTGAAACTAATTCTTCTTCCGATTTAATCATCCTATGTACTTCCGAGGAACATCTAAAAAAGATATTTTTATTTCTGCGTTATGATTCACACATTTTCGTTTTTCTTTACTTTTTTGTTTTTCATATTATCTTGCACTATTAGGACTGTATGATCGCAGTTTTTAAGCAAAATAAAAAAAGAAGACGTTTTTATGTTTATTAATGGATGTGGCAGTCGGTTAAGGAATTTAGTTAAGTTTGGAATGATAATATAATAAAACAACGAAAATAATATTTTGTTAGTTTTAACTTTAATGAATAGAATTATTTTTCTTTATTAGGTTTTTCTTATCTATATTTGTAATCTGAATATGTCGAATATTGTTATATATTAAAAAGAAAAAAAATGAATCTTTTATAGATAGGTTTAAATTATTTTGAACTGTAGGTCATTGATTTTACATTAAAAACAGAATATAACCTTTTTTTTCTTAGATAGCAATTTTTTTGACATGCGATATTTTCATTAATTTATTAGTTTTGTGCTTATTTTCTTTATGGATGTTTTCGTCAAGGAATATAATATTGAATGCATTCGATGAAGAATAATATAGGTTGAAAATATAGTATTTTATCAAAAGTTTCAATATCCATGTATGATTTAAAAGATTGAGATTCAAAGAAATACTTATTTTGATATATATGACGTAGCTAAATGCATGAAATTGATATTATTGTCAAAAAAGAAAAGCAATTATTGATATAGTTTCTTAATCTTTTTCGAGATTGATTTTTTTCTTCTTCTTATTCTCTTCAAGAGAGTGATTATTTCGTTTTATTGTGTTTTTAGTTCGAGACGAGTTTTTTGTATTTTTTTGTAATAATTGAATATTATGGTTCAGAATTCGTTTTCTCTGAAATATAGAAAAAAAAGCTCATATTAATCGAAAGAATCAGTAAGTAAGTAAAAATATAAAATTGATGCGAGATTCAGATATACAGCATGGTGAAGAGTATCACTGAAAATTATTAAACAGAAAAAACATCTTCATACTACACCGTCATGCACGCCCACCTTCACCCACACCCTCAAGATGACATCGAACAATAAAAGGTTCTTGAAGGTGCGTGTGGCTGTATCTGGATGTCTCATTTATATACTAGTGATTTTTCTTCATCATAGTATTGCTGGTGTTTGTATATAATGATATATTGTGTGTTGGTCATTGAATTCATTCGAAATAGTCGAACCTCTGCATTTACTAATCGTTACAATCGTCTGACAAAGCAAATTGACTGTATGCTGATTTCACAATTGATTATATTACCGCTATCTGAAATATTATTTGATATTAATTCTCTTTATAACTATATAACCAATGAAGTAGAAAAAGATACTCTATGAAAAGTTGTTAAACATTTAGTTGCAAAAGATTACTCGGCGTTGTATATTTATATGTGCATGTCAAGTGAAATGAGAAAATATCGAATGCTATTAATTATCAAACATTTATATCAAAACCGTATTGGAAAAATAAATAGTTCCATCAACAAAGCTGTTACTAATCCACTGGGCGAATCTGCAACTGTTTCCAAGTAACCCAAAAAATGTAACAGTTTAAATTTACTATCGTATTACTTAATTTATTATTGTACTTTTATTGCGATATACACCTCTCGCTTTGTGCATTATCTTTGATTGTAAATGAACTACCTGAATAGGCCAATAAATATATATTTGTACTGGCAAAATTTACGTTGCAAAAAAGTATTACGTATTACTCTTCCATTTGATATAGGCAAAAAAGTACCGACACAATCAAACATATAAAAGTAAAATATGCAATTATAGTGTAAATGTCAAAATTCAAACGATTGATTCATCAGAAACAAATGAAAAAAACAACGTTCGACATTTCGTGAAAAGGTGAATGACTTATTACAGTTCTACATGAACTATGGCAGAAAATTCTATGCAATTGGCCTATACTGATTAGATTTGTATTTATATTGCAACAAAAAATAACATTTTCATATTGTAACTTTACTTTTATTTTCAAGCTGCATAAATCTCAATCGGTAAAATAATGCAATATTTGTTATTTATGTTGGTTATTGCAGTACTAATTGTTGCTGATTTTGCTGAAGAAGTGGATGAACAAGAAATAGAACGTATATTACACAGTGTTGAAAATAATAGTGCGATCAGTAGTGTCAAACATTTGTGGATAACGTTTTTTTATCTTCTTAGGACTACTGAATTCTGCCATTGATGATCAATTTGAACCAACTTATGCTGAACCTATGGATGGAATAGATGAACGCTCTTCTTTTATGCAGTAAGTAATGCTCATAGAACGTGACTTTTGCTATTTTATGTAAGATTATTTTCTGTTTGTGCATATGCTTAAAAGTGTGTTAAGAGTAGTCAGATTTGAACCTATAGATTCAACTGATACTATTAAAGTAAGTATTTTCTACAAATGCATGGAATAGTTCTAATATTTCATCTTATTTTTCATTTCTTATAGCAGATCAATTTATATTTTAGATATCGAGTGAAAAGAGCGCGTGGCGGTTCGAAAGGTAGAGGTGGCAAAGAACATACAAAAAATGCACGACCATCAACTCAACAAAAACATGAAAAAGGACAAACAAGAAAGGGAAGTGACAAAAAGGGAGGAGAAAAAGGTGATGCAAGACGTCCATATGGCAAATAATCGTAAAAGAATAACTTGTATTCTATTGAAAAATAAGAAAATCATTTTTTATATTGATCAATAAAAAATAAGAGTTGATAGAAATAATACGAGTTCTACAATTCAAAATAACTTTGAGGGTGATGAATGTAGGTGCGGATGGGTGTAATATACGCAACGACTTATTTACAATTTATCTTTATACACATGATAACAAATGAAATTTAATAGTTCATTTCTTTATTTATATTGAAGCATTTACTAGATAACATAAATAAGCAAGAATCCCTTAACGAAGAAATTAGCTTACGACAACATATTTTATTTTAAATCTGAAGTTTTCATTAGATTCAACAGCTGTTAATGAATCTTAATTACTTGATAAGAAAAAGTTTGAATGTGTTTTTAATTATTTAATAAATCTATCAATTATGAGAATGTTGATTTCATAGAAGCATTGCTACAAGAATCGAAGAAAAATATGAATAATACAATATTTAAAAAAAAGGAGAAGACGTAATAGCTCGAATCAATGATGTATAATATCGAAAAAAAATATAATACACCTATGAAAAGCATGACTCATATTTTTCACGTGTTATACCCACTTCATTAGGGAGTCATTCATTTTTTCTAAGGTAAATGACGAAATATTTATCGCGGAAAAAACCAACATTTTACATATATATGTATATATGTAGTAAATACACAGTTTTATGTTATATACGATGGAAAATAAAATGAATGGTGATGAGCAAAAAACTGATATTGAAGATGAAGAAACTATAATTATTATTTGTTTTGATCCAAATAATGAATTCAATGATCAGATAGAAGATTTAAAACAACAAATCAATGATTCAGTTATATTTTATAGTGAACTTGAGTTATGTATTCATTTTATTAAATCAATTGAAGATAAAACAATATTTCTAATTATTTCTCCTTCATCTATTTCTCAACTTAATAATTTTAATCAAATTAAAAATATTTTTTTATTTGATGCATCAAACAATTCGAATGAATATTTATCATTTGATGATTCAAAACTAATTGGTATTTATGATAAATTTGATTTATTACTTTCAGCAATCAAAAAAAAAATCAATTTAATTCAAAAGAAAATGTGTCAATGCTGTTTTTTTGATCAAATTCAATATGAAAATAAAGATTTATCAAAACAAGCGAATAGTTTTCTATGGCATCAACTTTTTCCTGATGTTCTCTTACATTTATCATCTGATCGACAGTTTGAAAATGTAGATCAAAGTATCTTGGAACAATTCCCATGGATTAATGATTATAAACCAAACGAAGCGGTAGGATTGTTTATGAAATATCCATCACTTCGAGAATTAATTAACAAAGCGCTGAAAAATGAAGATATTAAACAACTTTATATGTTACGATATTTTCTCAGTGATTTAATACAAAATCTTCAATTCGGTAAAGAAAATCGAATTGTCTATCGAAGAATGTTTATATCTCGTAGTGAATTTAATCAAATACAAGAACATAATGGTAAACTTATTATGATGAAAGAATTTCTAACAGCAAATACTGATCGATCATCTTGTCATGTATCATCAACAAAACAAATTTCAGTACTCTTTGAAATTGAATTGAACAAAAATTCAATCTTTGCTGATCTTGAGTTAGCTAATCAAGAAACAGTTCTATTGGATTTAAATTCAACTTTTCGAATAGATAATATTCAACAAAATGATCAATTATGGATTATTAAATTAATTTCAGTTAATGATGGGCAAATAATCAAACAAAAATATATTGATGATACACGTCGTCAATTTCAAGATTTAAGCATTTCAATTATTTTTGGTAAATTAATTTGTGATATGAGTCAATGGAATCAATCACAGGCATATTTTGAATATTTATTAAGTAATTATTCACATACGGAAGATTTAGCATGGATTGAACATGGTCTTGGTCAAGCTTATCATTGGAAAGGAGAATGGAATCAATCAAGAATATATTATGATCATTCGTATGAACGAATGATGAAAAATGAACCAGTTCGTATTAAGGATTCTGCTGTTATACTGTCTGGTATTGGTGAAATATTATATTTACAAGGACAAATGGAAGAATCCTACGAATTTCATCAAAAAGCATTAGCAATTCGAATGAAATATTATTCTCCTTATCATCCACATATTGCTATTAGTTTATACAATATTGGTTTGATCTTTCGAATAAGACAAAAACAGGATGAAGCATTAGTCTTTTTTCAACAAGCATTATTAATTCAAGAGAAATACTATGATTCATTTCATGTAGATATTAGTACAAGTTTAACTCAGATTGCGTTCTATTTAACGAATGAAAAAATATATGACGAAGTTCTTAGTTGTCATCAACGAGCTCTATTAATATACGAAAAATATTACCCATTAGGTCATGTATCGGTTGCATTTACTCTTGGTTGTATGAGTTCTCTGTTTTATGAGCAAGACAAGTACAACGAAAGTTTTACTCTTATTCAACAGGCAATGATAATGCAGAAAAGATTTTATCCAAATGGTCATATCGATATAGCGTCGAGTTTGCTCGATATGGGAAACTTAGAGTATTACAGAAAAAATTATGATAAATCATTAAAAATGTATGATCAAGGACTGTTGATGCTTAGAAAATTTAATTTATCTAATCACATATTGGCTGTTGCTCTTTTGGCGAATATTGGTGACACACAACTAGATGAAAAAAATGATTGTGATAAAGCTTTAGATTATCATCAACAAGCTCTTAACATACTCGAAAAATATTATCCGTCATATCTGGCTCGTATTGCTATCATTCTTAATAGTATGGGTCGTGTTTTCTATAGACAACGGAAACTTGATAAAGCACTGGATTTCTATCATCGATCAATAAACCTACTCAAAGAATATTATTCATCTGATCATGTCGAAACAGTTTCATTTTTAAGAAACTATGTTAATATTTTGGAATATGATGAATTCGTTAAACGTCACGAACAAATATTAATACTTCGAAAGGAAAACGGTACTACACGAGGTAATGCTTGCATCGGAAGCAATTACAATGGAATCAGTCACATACATCGCAGACAAAATCAATTTGATGAAGCTTTTGATTTCGCTCAACAATCAATAACGTTTACAGAAAAATCTAATCCAACTGATTATACAAGGATTGCTGATAATCTTAGCAATATTAGTGAAGCTTTAATGTATCAAAATAAATTTGATGAAGCATTTGATTTCGAACAGAAAGCATTAAATATTCTAAAGATTCATTGTCCTACCAAAATTATCAAAATTATTGAGAGTTTAAATCAAATGGGTAATCTTCAACGAAAACAAGGAAAAAATAATGAAGCTCATCATTTGTTTCAAGAAGTTTTGACAATTTATGAGAAAAATTCCTTATCTCTCGAAGCAGATATTCCATTTGCTCTTATGAGTCTTGGTAGGATCAAATATAAAGAGAGAAATTTTGATGAGTCTTTGAATTATTATTATCGAGCAGCAAATGTACTTAAAGAAGTTTTTTGCACTGATTATCGTCGAATAACTGATAGTTTATATTGGGTAGGACGTAATTATTATAAGAAACAATGTTATGATCGAGCAATTGAATTTTATGAACAATGCTTAAGAATTGAGGAAGCCAATTCTATTCCAAAACAGTTAACTATTGGTAAATTTCTTGAAGACTTAAGTGATATAAAACAAATTCAACTTCAGTATGAAAGTTCCCTAGCATACGAACTAAACTGTTTGTTAATGCGTGAAAAAGTTCTACCACCCAATCATCAAGATGTTGGTGAAAATTTAAGTAATATAGGTTTATGTTACGAACATATTAATCAACGTAAATTGGCACTTGATTATTACAAACGAGCATTATTTATTTATGAACAATGTTTATTAGCTACGGATGATCGATGGACTTTAGAATTAAAAATTGAGGAACTTTCTACAGAAATAAATCAATTCAACATTTAAATCTTCTGGATATGTTCAAAACAACGATAATAATACAATACAGACATTAAACACGAATTTGATTAAATAAATGTAATAAAAGTCATGAGATTGTATGTTGAGGATGCGAAAATGGGTGTGAGTACTGTCTATTCTTTTGAATCCACACCCACACCCTTAAAATGAGTAAAAATCGAAGAACATCTATTAAGAACTCCTAGTCATAGTCTTCATGAATTGGTTAATAAGTTTTAGCTATACACGTATAAATTACATACATCACTTGCTGTCACTTCACGACTGTATACTCGAAAGTCATCCACAGCACCTTCAAATGCACCTGGCAATACTTGATTGCCTGGAACTGCGGAACAGCTTATACAGCCGTTCAAACAGCTACCTAGTGTCACATAATTGACCCAAGTCGAAGCAGTCTGATAAGTTGCCGCTGCTATTGATCCAACCAACGCACTATTGATATACAATCGAAGTCCATTTGTTGAACTCCACGTCTGAACAATAAGAGTAAAATCAGTCAGTGACAGACTCGAATACGATACAGCCACGTAACTAGTATTAGTCATTATCTGAACTATTAATGAACCATTTGATGCAAAACCGATAAAAGGAGCACAAAAACCGATGCCTGAACTATTGGTCGATATGTGTATGATTGTCCCCGCCAGTGACTGTGGTTTCACCCACAATGAAAAGCTGAATGGGTGATTGGCTATGCCAAGAGCGAGAAAACCTGATGCTTGGAAGAATGAGGAGGATATGCCCATGAATGAAATAGCTTGTAGAGTTCGACCACTAACCAGACCATAATTTGAAGCAAGAGATGAAACTGAATTTGGTCCCAGATCAAGCAGTGGTGAACTGCCATCGAAGCTGAAACGAGCCGCCAAGGTAGCCTGTTCCAAAATTTCACATGCAGACTTTAGTCGACCACTAACGGACAGCTCGTCAATATAACCCTGCAATCAACGAAATTATTCATATTTTAATTCAGGTAAACTTAGCATTGCAAAAAAAAATAAACTCATCCCTTCGTTCTCGTAAGCCTACAGACTTTACAATACCTAATCGGATAAGTCATTCAAATTTTTTTGATGAAAACTCTTTGATGGCTACTTAAACTTAGTTTCTCACTGTTCTAAAAGAGATACGATAAATTTCTATGCTAAAATATTATTCTTCGATATAATATCATAAATGATCGAATGTTTTAGTACAAACCTGCCATGTATTGATAGTCGGTACCAAAACAGGAAGATTACCAATTTGAAAGCTGCCACTGGTCGCTTTCAATCCTGAAGAGGTTGAGCCTCCTGACAGAAAAATTCCGTTACGATAGACAGATAATGTTCGGTTTTTGGCATCATATACGAAAGCTACATGCAACCAAATCTTGGTCAAAGTGGCTGGTGTATTGGTATTGACATCATCAGCATAAAAGCCAAAGTAAAGTGGATAGATCGAGGTGGTCAGACGAAGTGTCATATGAAGACATCGATCGGCTGCTGCTGTGGGGCAGATACCACAAATACTCTGGTATAATGTGTTAGTCAGACCAGTTGGATAAATCCAAGCATCGATGGAAAAGCTTATATTTGCCAAAGGGATATACGAAGTCGACACCATTTGATTAGAATTAGCGACGAATGAAATGGCTTGACCAGCGTAACCTTGAACGAATGTAAGATTAGGACTACCTGATGCAACGCCATTATGCATAGTGGTGTCATCAGAATAGTTGTTTTCAAAATGCCATTTAGCCAAGATTGACGCTGTAGATAACCAAGTTTGATTGAGACAAGTAGTGTTACATATGGGCAGAGTCGTTGTTGTACCTTATAAGTATCATCATCATTTTTTAAATATATAGGCGTGTCATTGTGGGTGTGGGTCTGGATACTGTATTCACTTAGCACTCACGCTTACCCTCAAGAGATCTACCATTGCTACTATTGGAAATAGGAAATCAAGACATATTGAACTGTATAATAAAGATTTAGAAATTTATTGAAAAACTAGGTACGAGCTACAAATAAAATTGATATAACTTATGACCTATAAAAGATACAAACGTATGGTTGATCTAAAATTGTAAATCTCGATTTTCGCTATTAACATCACTATTTGAAAATCAAAATTGAATATACACTTAGGAAATGCAAGTACCGCTAATTATATATTCGAAGATCTACCATGGCCAATCTTATTTGAGGATCTCGTTATTCCGTATTAATATATTTCCTATCATGTTGTATCCAACGGTAAAAATCGTAGATGTCAAGTGCCTTTTTCCAACAAATACATAATAGTAACGGGTGCGCCAGGTGAAATGGGGCTCTCACTATTTCGACTATAATTTTTGTTCGTTTACATCCTTAGATCTGTAGCTTTATTTTGTCCTTAAAAACAGGTCTAATAGAGTATTATCATATCTAATTTATCTTGTGAAATCCTATAACTCACTGTAACTTCTTTATAGACTTTCGTTGAAAACACTATTCTACTAAGATAATTGGTCTTTGAATGAAAAATATATGAGGATTAACTAGAATAAACAGTCGATTGTTGTCTACAGAAATCTTAAATGAACCCGTATCATACTTGTTACTACTGAAGATGACGAAAGTAATGTTGGTGCGGATGGTGTATTGGATGAAGTAGAAATTGAGGTTGATGCAGATGGTGTATTGGATGAAGTAGAAATTGAAGTTAATGTTGATGATGTATTCGACGAAGTAACGAGTGAGGTTGATACAGATAAGCTACTTGATGAGTTAGATGATGATGTTGTTACAACTAGAAATATGAATTTAACATATATAAAAAACTAAAAGACACTTCTCCAGATGTACGTCCTCTGTTGAAGATGTGAATGTGAATATTCTAATTATCATCCAATCACTCCTATACTTGAATTTAGACTAATATCAGTTCACACTCTGAGCATCCATTTTTTATTATAATTCTCTCCACAAATCTGAAGTTTTCAATAGAACTAACTGTATTTATACATAAAAACCAGATGAACATTTTCTAATGTCATATAGGCGACAAAAATAGGATTACCGATTAACTATTCTTTCGAAAAACTACTATTCACAATGACAATATAAGAATGATATACGTAATATTTTCAATGGATCATTCGCTTGTAATGGTTCTTTGCCTAGTTACGGAAGATTTCTTAATTGATTAGCAAAGTCATAATTATCGTTTGTATCTCATCATAGGTTATTATTCAATCAAAAACTCTACTCAGTTATCTTTTTATTTCATTTTATGAACAAAAAGATAAAATAATCAAGATAACAACAATGATTTTAACTAGTACATACCTAATGTCTCAGTTGAAGTTGTTTTTGACGTCAACCAGAATGTAAGTACAATAGCTAAACCTATTCCAGCTAGTAATGATCCAACAATACAACATCTAAAACACCAATACCAGGCAAAGGACTTCTTTTGATCAACTCTGTCGTTACAATATAAGATATATAAACATCTTGAAATCGATATTGTACTTACCGATCATTATCATCATCATCTGTCCAAACAATACGTTCGATTGGTAAATGACTTCCATGTGTGGTCGATGCTGGATCCGATGACCAGTCGGAGTATTGCCGATATGTCATTATATGTAATGTCAGTGGATTGGTCACTAATTTCGATCTGAATTGAATAAAGTAAAATTATGTATATTTTATATAGTAAAAATAATCAATAATGACTTCATTTGAACGGCTTCGGACATATAATGTAAATTTCATATTTTGAGTAAACACAATTCATCAATCTAATCAAAAGATTGGTCTAGAGAATAGAAAAAAAGTGTAACAGACTGTGTGTTCGATTGAGAAATTCTTTGTTTATTAGAGATGGATGAATTGTATGTCACAATCGGAAGGCAGGCGAAGACGAGGTAGTTTTGTTCTATTAATTAAATTCGCAAGTAGGAATTTTAAAAAGTAAACATATTCTGACAAAATTGGATGTTATTAAATACCGATTCAAATTAATTCTAAAGTCTAAGCTTTTACTTATTCTAATTAATTTATGAATATCTCTAAATTTAATGTGTACTAATTATTTCACTATATATAAAAAATTGATTGTATTCTTTTATTGAGCACGTCAGATATTCAACAGAACCAAGAAAAATTGAAGCGTATATTTTCATGTTTGTGCTTCATTGTTTTATTTCTTTTCGTCGTATTTTTTACATCAGTCTTCAGAACCAAAAGAATTCTCTTCGCGAAATAAAATCTTTTCATTTGATTATTGTTGCTCATGAATTAAAAAATCGTACGTATATGGTCTATAATCAATTATTTTATTCACTCATCGAATGAAAAATGTGTTGAATTGTGAAATTCGAAATATGATTAAGATTATGATAAATCTATAACAAGATCATCAGTTATTAAGCCAGATGTATTAGATTAGTTTCGATTTCGATTACATTTTGACTATTTGCATTTGCTTCGACATAATTATTTTACATATTCAATAAAAGAACTGTTTGTCTTTGATTTTTTTCTTTTCTACATTTGAAACAATATTTGCATATATAATAATAAATTTTTGTTTTGTTTTATCTTAATTGATATGAGAAAATTTTGTTATTAATGATTGACTATTTTATTATGAACTCAATAATACCTAAATCTAATTTTCAAGCATAGAATAGACTGAATATTCAATAAACCACCTTAATGGTGTAAGTAGCTGTGAGAGTGGATGATGTAGTTGTGGGTGAGGTTGAATTAGATTGAGAACATCCTTGTCCACTCACAC